TTCATCAAATTGCTCGAAAAAGGGAGTCTGTTTTGAAAAACAGTAGTCTGTTGAAACGTTTTTGGTTTTCAGATGATTGCCATTGCAATTTGACATTGCAATTTACTATAACCACTGGCGGTCCAAGCTCTAGCTGTGAGATGATCATCTAACGAAATAACAGTCGAGGCGAAATTATAAGAGTTTATATGGGAATATTTACAACCGCTCCAAGGAATAAATATTACTGTATTCGTTTCGTTACTCGCTTAATAATACACATATTTCGAAGACTTGTGTAAGTGACCTTTTCCTTCTTAGCTTATTCATCAACAACTCAAATCAAGCCAATCTGCTGCTACTGCTCGTTATTCAATAAATTCGCGAAGCGACACGACATGCGTGAGTGTGAAATGATAGCTTTTTTCATTATGTAAATTTTCCGTTGTCGACTCGCCGCTTTTTCAAACCTAAATGTTCTTTGCTTTACGGAACAATGTACTACGAAGAAAACTTATGGCACCGAATAACAAAGGCACATGAGTCGCGCATTTTTATAGACCGTGTGCGCAAAAAAATCGTATATACGCGTCTGCCTACCCTGCGTCTGACCGTATGAAATTCGTCTGCGCAGTTAAAATAATAGGCAAGCGGTACTGTAGCAGGTCGTTTTACATCCTTTACTAAATGATTCAGTTCACATGCACCCTAACTAAACTACTGTGATTTGTTCCAACAGAGTCCTGTATCAAGTACAAACAATCGGTAAACTGCGAAATGAATTTTGATCTTCGTTATTTCTAGTGTTTTGTAAAGGCAGAATCAAATTGACACTGTTATTGCCAATTTGAAAAATGATTCCTGGTGAGGTATTGCACTTGTCTAGTAAATCTTTGGTAGTGTGCCACCAAGTGTACGGAAACAGCATTAGCAGACATACACAAAAAAAACGAATCAGTATTCTTACCAAAATACTTGATCTCACGTCGTCTAATCGCCAATAGCGAAGGCGCGTATTTTTCTCAACTAGGACTCGGTTTATCACTGCAGTGAGAGATGTTGGTCCTTCTGTTGGGTTTGATGTGAAACAGCAGTCACCTCAACGCCACCGTAAGTAAAGATTACGGTCTTGAAGCGATTTTTACACAACAATTCAACGACCGGCTGACCAACTACGAAATCGGTGACTTAAGGCGTAAGCGGAAGTCGAAACTGAAAGTACTTGGTCAGCACAATAGTTATGGTTCGTTTGGAGCCTGGGAATAGTGAAAGGAGGATAACAAAAATATATTACGAGATGGGAAATGAAAACATTTTTAAAATGATAAATCATTAATTTGAATAATAAAACTTTACTAGTTTGTATCTACATCATGTGACTGAAGCTGTGTCGAAACTACTTTCTACGTGAATCGGATCGACTTATTCGATGTATCGAGTAAAAATTCAGCTGATATTGAATCACCTTATATGAAAACGACCGTACACGGTTTCATGTATTCTACGCCCGGCGTGGTGAAACATCGCGTTACGTATTCCCTGAAGCCTTTTACGCAAATTTCATGCATCGCCAAACATGTGTCGTTTCCAAATACGGAGTTGTAGGGAATATTGTACCATGTCAAGACGAGACATTATCGAAAAATACCCTATATAATCCAGAAACTATCCCATCACGCACAGAAACGAGTAAAACGATGCAGTCTACAATGCTGATTTGTTTGGTTTCAATTCTAAAAATAGGCGTGATCACATCATTAGGAACACAATGGTCTTCTTTGTTACGTACAGTGCTTGGTTGATGTGGTCGCCACAGCGAGATCGAACGATGCACAATGTTTAGTCGCCTTCCTTGAAAACAAGCAATGAAGAATTTCTTACGAAGATAGCTTAATTAAGAGATTTTAGTAAGGAGAGTGCCTCTTGAGCAGAGCAAACTGATTGGATCAATGTGAGGCGCATCGACGCTGGGATCCTACATTAATAATGACGACTTCATTAGACAAACAATAAAATTTTTCATTACTAAGGTAGTCACCGCTGTGAATAATCGCAACAAGCTGTATGCCATTGCGTGAAAATACATCAATGAAACTTAACCCTTTCCTTGATGTGCATTCTTGGTGCAAGAGTGGATGATTTCAAATATGAACGTGCCAATTTACGATTACTTAGCAGGTTGTTCACATCCTTTTCTGAATGATTCAGTTCACATGCACTCTAACTAAACTAATGTGATTTTTTTCTGTTTTAACAATCATGTATCAAGTACAATCAACCGGTAAACTGTGAAATGAATGTCGATCATCATCATTTCTTGTGATTTATAAAGGCAATTCAAATTAACACTGTTATTGCCATTTTGAAAATTTATTCGCCATGATGTATTGCACTTGTCTGGAGAATCTTTGGTAGTGAGCTACCAAGTACACGGAAACAACATTAGCAAACATAAACAGAAAAAAGAATCAGTAATCTTACCACAACACCCGATCTCACATCGTGTAATCATCGGTAGCGAAAGCGCAAATTTTTCAAATAAGACTCTCTGTTTATCACTGCAGTGCAAGATGTTGGTCCTTCTGTTGGGTTTGTGGGGAACCAGAAGTCACCTCAACGCCACCGTAAGTAAAGATTATGGTCTTGAAGCGATTGATCAAAGTTTTCAAGTTGTTACACAGCAATTCAACGACTGGCTGACCATGTACGAAATCGGTTAATTTTATAAGGCTTAGGCGGAAGTCGAAACTGAAAAGTACTTTGTCAGCACAATAGCTACGGTTCGTTTGGAGCCTGGGAATAGTAAAAGGAGGATAAAAGGAAATGGACAGTGTGGAATCACGAGATGGGAAATGAAAACAAACTGCAGTTCAAGTTTTCTTTTGTTGTCTTTTTTTAATTATATCTTCTCAGTTTGCCTCGGCTTTTTTTTGAGACGTAAATTCATGTCCCAGCGGCTTACTTATCAAATTTTTTCTGGGTATTTCATGGTTTATTGTGCCCTTACTATCATTTAACACTGTTAAAAAAAAACCCCACTACATGATCAGGTCTAACAGAGGTCCCTGAAGGATAAGCTTTCGGAAAAAAAAAATTGATATACATTATTTAAAACTTCCTTTTCTTTTATTCTATACCACTCACTCTAATATCATTTAAATAGTGTGTTTTATTTTAGCCTTGGTCCCATGTTTTTCTCTGCATTCTTGAGGGACTGGGGAGTGGTATCCTTTGACACTTTAACTGTAACTGTCATGACAACTGGAAGGTGGTCACAACTTTGGGTGAAACATTGAAAATTGTTGTGCCATTAACCATCCAATACACTGAAGAACACTTTTAAACTGTTTCCTTTTTCAACTGTTTTGATATTCTGTGAATAATGGACAATACAGGCTAGTCACAACATAGAACTGTATACAAAAATGAGCTAAAACAAATGTTTGATTCCTTTCTAAAGGAACATTGTTTCTGTATCAATGTATTTTTTGTCACAGACTGTTGTCACTCTAACATCAAAGCTAATCTCCACACAAATCTATTTAACAAGAATTATTCCAAATCAGTGACCAAATTATTAACTCTCCATATATTTTAAACAATTGTGGATCATTCCACCACATCTGTTGAGTAGAGTTTCCATTCCATGTGTTATTGTTGTCATCTTCATCGTCTCTGTTGTGAAGCCGGTGAATTCCGCCTTCTTTCTTTACAGATGAAACATCACCTTGGACTCTATGATGTAAACCAGAACTGCCATGAGAAAATTTTAAAAAAATAAAAAAAAGAAACAGTGGGAAAGATTGGCATGTAACCTCAGGAAGGAAGGAGTTTAGATATTGTTTAAGACTCTGAATTTGACCAAGAGTTTGTTTATTTCGTTATTATAAATTTCTTTTTTGGCTATGTTTTTTTTTTGTCAAAAAAAGAAAAAAGCTTATGGGCCCTTATATATTCACAAAAAACAATATTCTACTCACTGAAAATGACAACCTAAAGCAAGAGACCATCTTTGTTTTTGTGAAATTTGCAAATTGTGATAATTGAATATTTTGTCCAGAGTCACCAGTGGAAAAATATGTGTACTTTCAAGCATTCACAAGCTGTTGAAGTCTCCAAAACTTTCAGCTGTGAAATGACAAGCCAAAAAAAAACAATGGACAATAAAACTGATTGTAAATCAAATTCTTCTAACTAAATATCTGGGAATTATTTTTGCTTTTGGCTTTCTGAGGAAAAATGTGATTCTCAACACCAAAAGGTAAATAACCAAACTAGTTTGATACAGTTGAACAACAAACTCACTCTCCGTGTGCTGCTGTTTGCAAAAGGCAAACAACAACAAAAAAGACTCACTTTGATGGTTGTGACTGTGTACTGCTGTTTGTTCTCTGTGAAGGAGGATTCTGTATCCCTCTAGACTGATCCGCACTACCAAATTGGAAAGCCTTCAGCAAGTTAATCAGTGTGAACAGAGGTGAGAGAATCCATAATAACAGTTCAGGGAATGATGAAGTCCCAGATGGAGTGAGGGAATTACTTCCTCTCTGTAAAATGAAAGTTTAGCATTGCTTATTTATCTTTTTAAGTTTTGGGAAATTTCTGAATGATAGGGGAATGTGAAAATTCACTCATAGAATTTAAGGAAACATTTTTCAGAAATACGATAATAATTAACCAATGAAAAATAAATACCACAACAACAAAAGATTGAGCATTCATTGGGAGTGAAGGAGAAGAAAAAAACTAAATTTGGTTGTATGTGGCACCTAAGCTTTTCTAAAACACAACCCTGCTTTTATTTTCTAAAGCTACAACTTCCATTACCTAACTCTGAGTTACACAAATTAAAAAAAAACTCATAGGTAGGCCAAGCCATGTGCCAAGTTCACATGAGACAAATATTCCCTCTTTCCCGTGGATGAATTTTCTTAAAAACAACCTAATATTGATCTTAAACTTACCACAGCTACAATTGAAGTGGAACTTGGTGTCAGACCTAACTCAGCCAAACTATTTACCTAGTCTTCTTTGCTCAGCTTCTGCCTAAGGTAGGTGGTGAACATTGTTATTGAGCTGGTCCTGGGTCCAAGTTGCTGAGAACAATTGAAAAGATCTAAATTAATAAAACTTATTTTCAGTAGATTTTTAACAAATTTGCTTAAAAGAGCTCACTCGTGTTTTGGAGGGGTTGATGGCTGTAGAGACGATTGACAAAAACCAAATGGTCTTGAAGAGAATCTTTGTTTGGACACACACAGACAAGGTTGCAGAAAATTAAGAATCTAATGCAGACCTAAGAATTGGTATATCTTGTCTGACTTTAGGAGGAATTCTAGAAAAAACTATTTCTGGCCCCTAAAATAAGAACCTAACAATTATAGTTCCAATACATTTAACACTGAATTCTCCTCTACTTATCTATATTGAATTCCCTGAAAGCTCCTTAAATTTTGCTCATTTTTATATATACAAGTATGTGTTCTTGTAAAAATCAACTACTCACAGTGATGATATACTGTTGGATGGTCTGCAAAGGAGTATCAGGTGGGAAAGAGTTTGTTAACAAACTGCCATCTGGAAGACGAAACTGGAGCCAGGCAGAAATGCTGAGTAAAAACAAAAAGTCTCTGTTGCATGTACAGTGCAGTTAATAAAAATACAATACAACAATGTATAACTAAAGTAATGGCTGACATTATAAATAACATGTACTTTAATTACTTTAATTACTTTGACAAAGTAAGTGAAGGATATTCAAGAACTTTAAACCTGTACAAAATAATGACATGTTTCATTGCATTTCTACCTTACTTACCACTCAGTCTTTCCCAACCCCTCACTGCCTCCATTCATGGTAGTTGAAGGTGAGGGTGAGGCAGCTTGAGCATGCTGTATCCCCTTCACCTTATTCTGTCGCCTAGCTTCCCTTTCTGTTTTATCTCTAGCAATCTACTGCTGCACAGCTTCCCTGTGGGCCCACTCTTTAGCTCTGTCTTCTTTGATTTGATTCACAATATTTTGTGCCTGTCTCTCTCCTCTTGGTCCCTTTTGGCTTTACCAAGTTCTTGTCCCTGATGATGTCCATCAAATTGAGACTTCCTTCTTGATTTCCTAAAATGCAAAGAATTCTCTCTATCATCTCTTCACTGGTGATTCACAATATTTTGTGCCTGTCTCTCTCCTCTTGGTCCCTTTTGGCTTTACCAAGTTCTTGTCCCTGATGATGTCCATCAAATTGAGACTTCCTTCTTGATTTCCTAAAATGCAAAGAATTCTCTCTATCATCTCTTCACTGGTGAATATAATAAATTGGTATTCTGCTGAATCAAAGTGGCAATGCAGAGTGAGTGGTTTATTTATCTTTCATAAACTCACCAAAAACTGAGCTCAAAGTTAATAAACATGATTGCTTATTGGCTATAAGTAGGATACTGGACTCCAGATCAAAATGATCAGAAGGTTATCATTTTGTGGTGTTCTTAAGAGCAAGACAATATATTCTCACAGTATCTCTCTCCGCCAAGGTTTATAAACATTTAAATGGGGTACTGTCAAACTGTTTGGTAAACATGAGAGAGCGCGACAGAATACATGTATCCTAAAAGGGACTGGCATTGCATTTTGAGGGAATTTCCTTACTCCTAGTGGCTTCATGCTCCAGAAACTCAGATACGCTTGATTTTGGCCTATTAATGCACAGACTTTGTTTCAAGGGAAAAAACTACTTCAAAAAGTCATTAAGCTCTGCACAGAATAAAACAAAGCCTTAAGGGAACTTGAATAAAATTGATAATGATAATAACTATAAAACTTACAAAAATAATAATACTAATGATCATTTTAATACTAAGAAAAATTATACAACTTATAATGATGATAATAACTTTTGGCCTTACAGAAATGAAAATATTTGGAGATTGATTGATAACATCATTCTTATAAAGAGCTGATAACTGTTCATTCTTACAAGGTGTTCAGACAAGTACATATTAGCCCACTGTATTGCGTATTTCACAGAAATATTTATTAAAATACATTTATAGGATAATTCATCCATAATTTACAAAGTACAGAGCTACACCATAAGTTTTAACAACCAGAAAAACAATACTATAACTTTATTAAGATTAGAAAATTGGACTCACTTGATTTTCTGATTCCTCTTTCTTAAGTCTCCTCTGTTCAATAAGTTTCTTTGCTCTGCTCAACAACAAGAAGAGAGGGTTAAAACTCATAGTAGCAGTAACTTATGAATAATTGTTTACACTTTCTTGGTAAAAGATTATTTCTACAGCTTTACTTATAGAAATAAGTTTCACAAAAGATACACTAGAGTGTACAGGGTTTAAAGATGGTGCCTGGTGCCTTTAAGGTTTAAAGATGGTGCCTGTTAGAAGTGCATCTTAATTGGTTACAGATAAATATTACATTACAAATAAATATATTTTGTATTCCAAAGGAAAAATTGTATTTTTTACTCAGTAATTACCTCTTGTGATCCAATTTTATTGCCACACATTTCCCTCTTGAAAATATCCCTACAATCTGAATTTAACAATCATTAGCTTTTCCTATCAAAAATTTAACTGTAGCTCTATAATTTTAGTTTATTCTGAATATTATATTACATAAGTGCTTGGTTTGACATTTTCTTTTTTTGAAATTATGGAGCAGAGGGAATTCTCATCCAAAATTCAACTCCCTCTCTTTGTAACAAATGCAAAAGTGTGGTTCTTTTTTGCAACCACTGATAATTCTTGGAGCTGAAGTTTGAAAGAAGCAAATGAAACCAACAACAAAACAAACAAGCAAGTGCATCTCAGTTCTACCAATCTTACGGAGGATCTGACAGGATTGAAATTACATGTACAGTTACATGTACCTTAGGATCTTCCCATGTTGCATTCATTCTGATTGTTTCTTCATTGTTTCCTGTGGAAGATTCAAAAGCTTTTAAATTCTTTACAGTGGCCAATTTACTTTATCAACTCAAATGATAACACTAAATTACCCTGTTATACTCTCCCACCAACCCAACACCACAGTTTCTTCAGAAACTTACCTCTTTATTCAACTGACCTCCACAATTGCTTTCAATAACTTATTTCATGTAGAAGTATGCCACTTACAGACCAGTTTTGCTACCCTAATCTTACTTTGTGAGAAACACCTCCCCATTTAAATGTGTACTTCACCATTTTAATGTGTACTTGAAATTTTAGGTATCTTAGTTCCTGAATGAACCAATCAGATCTCAAATACATTTTTAATTAGTTCTTTGGGATATAAGTTACTGTGTCCACCAATCAGATTTGGTTTGTAATGTGAAACTTACTCTTCAGCAACTTAGTTCCTCAACAAACCAATGACATGGAAGAATATAGGTCAGGTTATTTCTAAATTAAGGTTTGCCTGTTTTATTTCTGTCAACAACAAATAAAACAGACAACAATAGATGGGGCATTTCTGCTTTAAGAGCAGTAATGTTTCACCATAAATTGGATGCTATCTGTACTAAATTATTCTTCTTCGAGGTTGTATTATTTTTATTAGCGCTAGACGCGTAGAAGCTTTTTGTAAAGTTTTGTCACTGTTGTAATTTTGCGGTTAAAAAAATCAGTTACATTCAGTGTATTTCACCTTAGAAATATATCGAATACTCTGTGGTTAACACAGTAATGGAAACGCAACCGATTGCTTACAATTCCACAGAAATCGTTGACAGAAATCGTTGACAGAAATTGCCACCACGGTTTTGCCGCGCTCTTTATCAGCGCCCGAATACTAAGAAAGCGATCAAATGACCATTATCCTTTGTAAAGACTGTGAATTCATTTCCGGTGAACGTGCAAATAATCGTGTCCGCGTGATAAAAAAGAAAAAAATATCGCAACCTTTTTATGCTCGTAAACGTTCTTAAAAGCAAGAAGATTTGACAAGCTTTCCTGTCAAGAATGTGATAATGACATTACAGTAATCGTGACACCGTAACACTTATTAGAAGGCAAGCAAGGACTTGACCTGTAGACGCACGAGAAACTTATCATCTTACTTTTCCGCCCTGTTTTGCTACAGGCAACGATTGCGTTACAATTTTGAATTTTTGCACTGAATGTATGCTAAGTTGAAGCAAATCATGCTACTGAATTTAACCCAACTAATTACTACTGTATTTACGAGGAGAATTAATCAAATCTGTTTAACAAATTCCACATACAAATGCTATCATAATAAAAATTATCTTATGTGTTATAACAATCCAATGAAAGTAACTTACCGGACTTGAACGTCTTTTAAATCGCGAAATTTGCCATTCTCCATTCAGTTTCCATTCTGAGAAATTCAACTTTTCCAAATTCTAAGAAGAAATTACATTGTTACGAATGTAGTTTTCCTTCCATCTCGCATACGATGTCTCAACTCGAATTTACTCATTTCGCGCCATAATGTAATTTTGGCGGGAATAGACAAATAAATGCTGTTTGTCTCTGTGTTGTGTAAAAGTTCATTCCCAACAGATCAAGCCTTGTTTTGAAATACTTAGAACGCATTCAACGTTCAAGCAAGCGATCTAATGAAATTGATTTGACAGAAGAGAACATGGCTCGTTAGCCGACGCACTAGAGTACGATCTTGGAGGAGTTATCGATCGAACGCGATTTATTTCACGGGAATTCCTATTGTGACCACAGCTGTATTGTTTTCCTAAACCGCTAGCTGATTGGCCAAACCAGTAGCTAATTTCGTGGCTACGCGAGCCACAAACTACCACGAAGAATATTGATCAGCCAAACACCATGAAGTTTATTTCAACATAGTATTACACGAGCCTAGTACAGCACCTTTTGTCATGCAACAGGATATCCGTAGTTAATCGAGCCCACCGTGCCTTCTTGAGTTTTTAATTTTAGATTAGTGCAAATGAAAGCGTATTCCTTACTTGAGTAGTAAGCTTTTTAAAAACTTCTAGGAAAATGAGACCTATTAAATCGAGAACTCGTTGTAGTATAATTCAAGTTGTTGCTAATGTTTAGCTGGCAACTTTCTGTTGATTCGCATTTCGTTCATCCTTGAAAATGTCATCTACTTCTTAGCGCCTAAATAATACAACACTCAGTTGTCCTCTTTCGCAATGCTTTTCATACCTTTCGTGTCTGCATGTAGTCGCTGATACAATGCGTACTAGGCTCAGCGAAATGTCAACATTTTCAAGATATCTTAACAACCGTCTAAAGAATCCTTGTTACTGTTTATGTTATCAGTATGAAACTTTGCTTCCGAGTCGCTGATCGTCTTCGAACAGCTTGAAGCTTACAGCGTTTGAGTCGGTGACTCGTTATATTATAACTTATGTCACATTATACTCGATCGTCCTCTTTCGAATATGTGGTCGATAAAATAGGTTGCATTAAGTTGACTGAAAAGCCATCTTCTTCAACACGTCTGAACAAACTTCAAAGGACTCAGTTTATTTCTTTGTTTTATCAGTACAAGATGTTGCCTTTTGGGTTGATGACCGTCTTCAAACAGCTCGAAGCGTGCCGAGTTTGAGTTAGTTAAAAATTATACATCGATAATATCATACTGTTCTTAATTGCCCTCGAAGTTTACTCGGGCGGAGTTAGTGAAGCGTGACCATGACAGTCATATAACAGCTAGTTGTCCACTTTCGCAACGCATCTTCTGTGGTCACGAAAAAATCTGCTCAGCGAAATTTCAACATTTTCAAGATATCTTTACAACTGTCTAAAGAATCCTTTTTAATCTTCATTTTGATAGTGTGCCTCTTTGCTTCTGAGTAGAAGATTGCCTTCAAACAGCTCAAAGCTTACAGTGTTTGAGTTAGTGAATCA